ACTCTGGGTCTGGGCGCTGTCCCTCAGCTCTTCAGCTCAAGGCTAGTGCTCTACCACTTGAGCCACAGCGCCACTTCTGGCTTTTTTTTTTTCTGCTTATGTGGTGCTGAGGAATCGAACCCAGGGCCTCATGCATGCAAGGCATGCGCTCTACCACTGAGCCACCTTCCCAGCCCAGGAAAAACCTTTTGAATAAGCATCTGAGTAACAGAACATAAAATGACTAAAAGACTAGTTTTTTTTTTTTGGTTCTAACCTTTTCAGTAAAATGACTGGTACAAGTTTTTACTTAATCATTCAATATTGAAATTCACAGTAAATGATCTTGGTTGTTTTTTTTTTTTGTTGTTGTTGTTGTTTTGTTTTTTAATGATTTGCTTTGTTAAGGTCCAGGTTTACTGTAAGAAAACTATCAGAAAAAAATTGTAGGGAGGGAGGGACTGGAAAATAGTGAGGGAACAGAAGACACTGTATGAAAGAAAACGTACTCATAACCTGACTCATGTAATTGTAATCCATGTTATATCAGCTTTATCATATTAACTTTATTTTTAAAAAAGAAAAGATATATTCTATTTATGACACTTTAGCTGTATGATTCTAATTAGACTAATAAAGTTTTCTGGGTGATTTGGATTTTTTTTTGGTGGGGAGGGGTGTATATATATATATCCCTTTGGTCCTTATAAGCCTTCTTAACATTCTGTCTGGTGTTGTCTCCCCAATACTCTGTATCTTACCTCTCTTTCCCCATGAAAGAACACACACTCACAGTCCTGCCTGAAGTCCTTTTTGGAACGTCATGGACTGTCTTTGTTGTGGATCTGGATGGCAGAGCTTGGAGATGGCCGGGAAAGTAACCAGAAGCTTCAGGAAGAGGTCAGTTCACAGTCCTCACACTCCTTACAATTACTATATTGTGCTTAGGCAGTGGTATGAAGGAATCAAATTATTATTCTGTCATTATCCCATACATATACCTTGCTAGCAGTGAATTTTGCCCTTTTTTGATTTTCTCCCCTATCTTCTTTTTTTGTATGTGTGCCACTCCTGGGGTTTGAACTCAGCACCTGGACACTGTCCCTGAGCTGCTTTTGCTCAAGGCTGACACTCTACCATTTGAGCCACAGTGCCACTTCTGGCTTTTTCAGGGCTTCATGCATGCTAGGCAAGCAGTCTACCACTGAGCCTTCCCAGCCTACCCCCTATCTTCTTATACCTGGGAACTACAAGAGAGAATATCATAGTTCAGTAAATGATTCAGTTTGTTGTTAAGACCACAGTTTTAAAGTGGGAAAACAGAAAACTTGATTTGTACATGAAGATTGATCGCCAGCATTGTTGTAGTGCTTATACCATCTCATGAAATTATATATATAATTTCTTGGGGGGGGGGCAGTTGTGGGGCTTGAACTTAGGGCCTGGGCTAGTCTCTACCACTTGAGCCACAGTGCCACTCCAGGCTTTTTTCTGTTTATGTGGTTCTGAGGAAATAATGAGTTCTCCCCAGAGGTTTGAATGGTCAAACTATACAAAGTAATGTCTTGTTTTTGTTTTTTTAATTGTCGTTAATTAGATTATAAAGACTTTGGAACATTTGCCCATTCCTACTAAAAATATGTTGGAGGAAAGCAAAGTCCTTCCAATCATTCAACGCTGGTCTCAGACGAAGACAACTGTCCCTCAGTTGAGTGAAGGAGATGGCTATTCCAGTGAGAACACATCCCGCGCTCACACACCGCTCAACACGCCCGATCCTTCCTCCAAGCTGACCGCAGAGGTGGACACAGATACTCCCAAGAAACTCATGTTCCGCAGACTTAAAATTATAAGTGAAAATAGCATGGACAGTGCCATCTCTGATGCAACTAGTGAGCTAGAAGGCAAGGATAGCAAAGAGGACCTCGACCAGTTAGAGACCGTCACTGTAGAGGAAGAAGAGGAGCCGCAGCCACAGCTCCTCCCACAGCAGCTGCCCGAGCCCAAAGTTGAGAGTGAACCTCCCACAGAGGCCAGTAAGCCGCTCACAGAGCCAGAGGCGGACGTGGAGATGGAGGCCAAAGACAGCAATGGCACCAAACTGGAAGAAAACATTGCTGAGGAGACTCCATCTCAAGATGAGGAGGAGGGTGTGTCTGATGTGGAAAGTGAAAGGAGTCACGAACAGCCAGATAAGACTGTGGATATAAGTGATCTGGCCACCAAGCTACTAGACAGTTGGAAAGACTTGAAGGTAAGAGAACATTTGTTGTTGTTGTTTGTTCACTTTAACCTGAATCGTTGTTTAGAGTTCCTTAAGCTACTTCTCTAGCCATGGGTATTTCTGACAAGTGGAATACCATCTCTTAAGTGGCAGCTAATGAGAAATGTGTCTCAGTTATTGTTTACATCCTGGCAAGAGTCATTCTAAACCACTATCCAGTGCCTCCTCCCTCCCGCCCCGGCTTTATTGAAAAAAACATGTTTACTCAGGTGACTAGGCATTCAGAAAAAATCCTTTGAGGAGCAAATTTATGTTTCTATTTGTAATGAGGGAAAAAAAAAATTGTTTAAAAAATAGAAGCCGGGAGCCAGTGCCTCACTCATGTAATCCTAGCTACTCAGGAGGCTGAGATCTGAGGATTGATGTTTCAAAGCCAGCCCGGGCAGGAAAGTCCATGAGACTCTGATCTCCAATAAAAACCACTAGAAAACCGGAAGTGGCGCTGTGGCTCAAGCAGTAGAGTGCTCGCCTTGAGCTGAAGAGCGCAGGGACAGCACCCAAGCCCGGAGTTCGAGCCCCACGACCGACCGACCGACCAAAAAAGAAAAAAACAGAAGCTGGGAGCCAGTGGCTCACACCTCTAACCCTAGCTACTCAAGAGGCTGAGATCTGAGGACTGAGGTTCAAAGCCAGCCCAGGCAGGAAAGTCCATGAAACTCATATCTCCAATGAACCACCAGAAAACTGGAAGTGGT